AAGTTTTGGGAAAAAAACAATAATCTTTGGGAAATATTTTTAGCATTCTGTTTAAATTTCTTGCCAATAAATCCTTCCGACATATTTCGCTCATTCCCGGAAAATGGTTAATTTTCTGTAAATTTAATTATCAAAAATATCATTTTTTTATAATTGCACAATAAATATTTTACGGGAGGAAATAATTTAATTAATCTTCTGAAAAAAGAAACTTAAATTATTCTCACTTGAAACCTTTTCATTTCTTTACACCTTTCAACGGATATAGAAAGATCAGTCCAAAATAAATTCCAACTCTCATCTTCAGGTACTTCTCTCATTCCAAACCTATAAGCTACCCTTCGAACTACTTCATACCTACAGTTAGCCGTACAAATTGTTATAGGCCGTCGTCTATATTTTCGTTTTTTTCTCAATTCAGTTTTACTGTTCGAAAGAGTTGCATTATTTTTAGAATTTGAATCCGAATCAGCTGTAAAAAACAATAAGGGTAAGGAAATAAGTAGAAAAAAAATTCTTTAAATTTTCGGTGAATTTATATTTAAATGATGTAGATCGACATTGAAAATGAAATTTAGTGAATTGATTTTAATAAATTTTAATAAAATTTTACTTTAAAAGTATTTTAAAAACTGATACCGAAATTTCGAATTTTAGTTATTTAAAAATTGGTACACTGTATTATCCGCGGATTCCAATAATTGCTTCAATTTTCAATTATTTTGATTCCATAATTTTACTGTCATAAACAGATATATTTTAATTTATTCTAAATAAAATATTTGTAATTAAAAAAAAAAAAAACAAAATTTATAAGACAACTTGAAAACTATGTTATTGGAAAAGAAAATTTATGAGAAAGTAAAAGGTATGAGATTACATAATTACTGAAGAGAAATAATTAATTATCGTGTGAAAATGGCGTGTTTATAACGATATAAATTTTAAACTTACAACTTTTAACTTTTCCATCATCGCTACTTGTACTTTTTTCTTTTTCTTCTTCTTTTTTAATGCCCGTATCACCGTCATCTTTTCTTTCAATGTTTTCGTTGAACGCGTCAATTATCTGACCGTGTTCATTCCTCATATGTTTATAACTTGCGACTTCTGACGAGTTAGGCTGCAAATTTTTTTTAGGTTGTGGTATTTCTACTTCATTGCTAGAAACAGATACTTCGCTACTATTTGAACTCTGGTCGCCACGGTTGTTCTTATTCTTCTGCATTTTACTATTTGGCAACAATTTTTTTTCAACTTATCGTATGTTTGCCTTAATAAGATAGTAAATAAGTTTCGGATTCCTTCACAAGAATTATTTTTCATTGATTTAAAAAAGTTGTGTTGTTCACTAATAATTTGGAAAATAAACGGAGAAATATCACATCCAAAAAATATTCTCGATTGAGTAAACCAATTTTTTCAGGCATTAATCATAGATAAATAATTTAATTTTGTCATATATTTATTCACTCAAATTCACACTATTTTCACATTTCAAACTATAGAGGTTTTTCAATTTTTTCTCAATTTAACGGCCATTTGTCAACAATTAAAACACTGAGTTCACGAACTTTCAAAAGCAAAAAGTTGGGAAAAGTTAACGTGGGTTTAGAAAAACAAAGAAATCAAAATGTTTGTTTGGCAACATAGCGATGCTGTAATATGATCAAAAACAATGGCGTCTCGTGAGTAGCGTGCGTTTCTGCAAGGAAAATATTTTGCATATACTTTAACTGAAAACTTGAAATTTTTATTAAGAAATTTATAATTCTATGAGTAATAATGCGCGTAGTAAAAAAAATTTATTGTTTCAACTTATTACTGAATGTTTTCTAACCTGGAATGCTAGAAAAAAAAATTAAAAATGAGGTACAAACCGATTCTCTTCATTTCAAATTTTTCGTTTCTAAAGAGAAAGAACACATGATGATATTTTATTCGTTTTTGTTAATGTTTTTTATTTTTATTAGGTTGATGAGCCGTAATTTTTCTGTAACAGCCCTGCGGCCTAGACCCATTACATCTAATTATAAATTAAATATCCTTAACCCTTGAGTTAGCGGGCTCACAAAAGGGTAGAAACCGATGCTTTTTGGGAATAAATCAACAAAATGTTCAAGTAAGATTTGTTTGCAGTAAAACTTTCGTGTTTTAAGGTAAAATTTAATAATTTATAATATTGTTTTTTTTTGTTTTTTTTGTTTTTACTTAATGTAGTTTTTCATCATTTAATTGTTTTGTTTACCACATTATTTATAAATGTGTTTCTGTCAAATTATTGTTCATAAGTAAATGAAAAAGTTCAAAAATTTCTCTTTTTGTTATTATTATCATTAAGGTATTACATTGTTTTAAATTTTCCAATCTAGTATTGGTAAAAAAGAAAGTTTATAAAAATGCATTATACATATTTAAAGCAAATTATTTATTTATGTTTATTTGATTAATCAAAAAAACATATTAAAAGTAATATTTTATTTTATAAGTATATCACATGAAATTTTAATATAATGCATTGCAGTGACTATAATTTTCTGCATAATGTGTGTTTAAAGTTTAAACATATATTGATAATCTTTTACGATTTTTAGTATGTCTAGGGGGCAAAGCAACATGTATTTTCCATGTGGGGGTCCAGGAACTGAGTCTCCACACATGCAAAGAGGTCCCTGCTATCCTCTTTCAGATGTCAAAATGGCAGGTGTACCACCAGGAGGTAATTTGAAAAATATTATTATACCTGAAAAATTTATTTATGTTTTTTATATTTTATATCAAAAATTATTAAAAATTAATTGTCAGTAGTTGTTTCAGTAATAGAAATTGGTTATACTTTATTACAAATAATTAATGCAAGCATTAAAGTAAATGTTTGCTTTTGTTGTTTTTACGAAAAAAATAAAAATAAAAAGTAGTTTTATGAATTTTTTGTTAAAATACATAATACACACTTTACTACTTTAAAATTGATGTTTTAATGTGTAATTATTTATTTTAGGAATGTCATGTGGCATTATCGGTGAATTTAAATCACCTATTATTGACCCCCCAAATATTCCTTTGACTAATCCTAAAAAGAAAAGAAAAACAAGTGCAGCAGTGACACCACAGCAAAGTCCAGTCCTTCAAGACCTTATGCCACAGCAGCCGAGTAGTAAGAATTACAAAACATTTTTTTTTTGCTTAATTCATTAAATTTTGATTTATTATCAATTAATTATTATTATGCCAATTAATTTTTAGCCTTAGGAGATACTATTGTGGCCTCCAATCCATTTGATGATACTCCACCTCAGTCAGCTCCCTCTATTATGGGACATCATATGCATATGGGAATGCATATGAATAGTCCAATGCATAGTCCGCATAATATTGGACACATAGGACCTCCGTTGTCTAGTCCAATGAATAATATGGGAATGACTTTGGTTGGAAATCCTATGAGTAGTCCATTGGGAATGAATTCTCCGTTGGGTTCTCCGCACATGATGGGAATGATGAACGGAGGGCCAATAAATTCTATGGGAAGCCCGATGACATCTGGGCCTGCCATAATAGGACCCAGTAGCTCTATGGGAAGTCCAATGACTCAAACTCAACACATGGGTCCTAACGGAGCAATGGGTAGTCCAATGTCAAATAATTCAATGAACATGATTAATAATAATATGGTTGGCAACCCGATGACATCACCTCTCGCTGGGCCGCCCATAGGGTCACCAATGATGGGGTCTCCGCACATGAATATTCATAACGGTCCAATGGGATCACCAATGACACAAACTTCTACTGTAATGAACTGTGGCCCTAGCCCGAACTCTTGCGGACCTAGTCCGAACAGTTGTAGTGCGTCAACGACTGCGGCGAATAGTTTGCCACCTTGCGGTCAATTAAATTGTACATCAAACAGTGGTAGTGGTGGTAATTCAAATAATAATAACAATAATAATAATATGACAAATTGTGGTGGTAACTCTATGTCGTGTAGTGCGAATGTGCAGTGTGGCCCATCTTGCGGACCGAGACTATCTGGTGGATGTTTAGGACCTAGAATGATGCCACCTCCCGGAATGAGTCACGTACCACCACACATGATGGGACCCCATAGTTTCGGCGGTCCAAAGCCACTACCCGTATCGGCGGGAAAAATTTATCCTCCCGATCAACCCATGGTATTTAATCCTCAAAATCCGAACGCTCCACCAATTTACCCATGTGGAATATGTCATAAAGAAGTTCATGATAACGACCAAGCAATTCTTTGCGAGAGCGGATGTAATTTTTGGTTTCACAGGTTCGTTTATTAACTTTTATTTAATTATTTATTTCAATTTAATCATGTAACTTATTAATATTTTTAATTTTTTTAGGATGTGCACGGGATTAACGGAGCCTGCTTATCAATTACTTACTGCAGAAGTATATGCCGAGTGGGTTTGTGACAAATGTTTAAATTCAAAAAATATTCCCCTCGTAAAGTTTAAGCCTTAAATTTTAGACATAAAAGTATAAATAAATATGAAAAAAAAAAAAATTTTATTTTTTATCATCGTTATTATTATTATTATTATTTTTTTTTTTTTTTCGTCTCATTCTTCAGTTTTGAATTGAATTTTGGCTCGAAGAACATATAAGAGAGCAGAATACTAATAAAAATATG